CACACAAAACGAATCACAAAACTCGGCTTATGCTTAACAGCAATCAGCATGTCTGAGGATATAGAATCAAATATCCAAATGTAATCTATTCTCCAAGTAAAACAAAACATAAAGACAGTCTTCCTCCAAATGAATGATCATCCCATGGACTACCTACTGGTACAGAGCACCTGAAATAACAGCAAAGTTAAGGTATAAATATTAACACATAGTTTAGGTTCCTCATTTAAGACTGTATAGGAGGCCAGGCGTGGCGGCTCATGGCCTGTAAATCCTAGCTCCTCTGGAGGCTCAGGAGGGCGGTCGCTCAAGGTCAGGAGTTTTCGAGACACGAGCCGAGCAAAAGAGTGTAGACCCTTGTCTCTTACTAGAAATACGGAAGAAATTAATTGGCCAACTATATAGTATAGAAAAAATTAGCCAGGCATGGGTGGCGCATGCCTGTGGTCCCAGCTACTTTGAGAGGAGGCTGAGACCAGTAGGATTGCTTTGAGCCCAGAAGTTTGAGGTTGCCTGTGAGCTAGGCTGACGCCACCGGCACTCACTCTAGCCTGGGCAGCAAAGTGAGACTCTGTCATCCAAAAAAAAAAAAAAAAAAAAGAAAAATAAAAGTAAATTAGGAGGCCGGCGCGCTGTGGCTGCACGCCTGTAATCCTAGTTCTTGGAGGCCGAGGCGGGCGGATTGCTCAAGTTCAAAAACCAGCCTGAGCAAGAGCGAGACCGCGCGTCTCCTACTATAAATAGAAAGAAATTAATTGGCCAACTGGATATATTAATCATACAAAGAACTTAGCGGCATGGTGGCGCATGCCTGTAGTCCGAGCTACCCGGGGAGGCTGAGGCAGAAGAGGATCCCACTCCGAGCCCCAGGAGTTTGGAGGTTGCATGTGAGGCTAGGCTCGACGCCACCGGCACTCACCTAAGCCTGGGACAACCAAAGCGAGACTCTGTCTCAACAAAAAAAAAAGATGAAATGTAGGAAAGCGTAAAAAGCATCAAATGAGCATTTGAATCTGAAGAAGAATAATTCATTTCTGAATTCTGACGCGGGTTTTTGGATTTGCTTTTTTTTAGAAGAGTGTCTCCCCTATTGTCCAGGTTAGAGTAATAGTGGCCCCAGTCAGTAAGCTCCGCTGTCGCTTCACAACTCCTGGGCTCAAGGGATCCTTCCAGCCCTAAGCCTCTTGAGTAGCCTAGGACTACAGATGGCCATGCCATTCACACCTGGCTAACTTTTTAATTTTTTTCTAAGAGACAGTCTCCACCCATGTTGCTCAAGTTGGTCTCGAAACTACTGGTCTCCAAGCAACCCTTCCCACCTCCAGTCAGCTGCCTTGAGGGTGCGCCAGTGACATGTAGCCACTGTGCCCAGGCACCACCATGAGTTTTTGTTTTGTTTGTTTTTGAAACAGAGTCTCACTTTGTTGCCCAGGCTAGAGTGAGTGCCATGGCGTCAGCCTAGCTCACAACAACCTCAAACTCCTGGGCTCAGCAAAAATCCTGCTGCCTCGGCCTCCCGAGTGGCTGGGACTACAGGCATGTGCCACCATGCCAGCTAATTTTTTATATATATAATTAGTTGGCAATTTAATTTCTTTCTATTTCTAGTGGAGACGGGGTCTCGCTCTTGCTCAGGCTGGTTTCACATTCCTGACCTTGAGCAATCCACCTACCTAGGCCTCCCAGAGAGCTAGGATTATAGGCAGGCGTGAGTCACGGTGCCCAACCTCATACCATGAGTTTTAAGCTCCAACCTTAAAACAGAATATACTGGGAAATAGGAAGTCATCATTAATAAGCCTTTGTACTTGACTTTCAAATGACAATAAAAATCAACTTTTGGAATAAGAGACTAGAGATGCTGGGGTAATCAATACAATTTGCATGCAGAATTAAGCCAGGTTCAAAATACTCCCTTCTTTTTTTTTTTTTTTTTTTTTGAGACCAGCGTCTCGCTTTGTTGCCCAGGCTAGAGTGAGTGCCGTGGCGTCAGCCTAGCTCACAGCAGATACTCCCTTCTTAACAATTATGGTAACATCCACACAAGATATTTGATGGGATTTTAAGATGGTACCCTTAAGACCCTGCCAAACCAGAGCTAAAAGTCATACAAAAATTACCAGTCATTCCTAAGGATGCACCGATCTTTACATTGTAGTGACTGGTGAGCAGTGATGATTAGGTGCTTTTCATGGTTTCCCTCTTCATCTTGCACAATATTGACTGCTAACACCAGGTACCGGTTATCCATTCCTCCCGTCAGAACTGTCTTAGGAAAAGAAGATACCACTTTCTTCTGAAATCTAAAGCATATACATACAAAACCATTTTAGCACAACGATGAAATAACAAGCCATGAATCTCTTTCATCAAAAACCAACCTTCTAGTTTTCTACATTTGTTTCTTCTAGAAAGCTTATTACAGTGACTGTTAGCTCAAATAGGTAAAATTAAGAGAGGAAAGACATAGAATTCCCATTATAAAAACATCCCAGAAGTAATACCATTTAAAACATGCTCACAATATAGGATTTCTCTATGAGGAGTTCTGTGGGATTTCTATAACTGAGGATTAAAAAAATTGGAAGAGGCCGGGCGAGGTGGCTCAAGGTCAGGAGTTCAAAACCAGCCTGAGCAAGAGCAAGACCCCGTCTCTCCTATAAATAGAAAGAAATTAATTGGCCAACTGATATATATATAAAAAATTAGCCGGGCATGGTGGCACATGCCTGTAGTCCCAGCTACTCGGGAGGCTGAGGCAGTAGGATCGCTTGAGCCCAGGAGTTTGAGGTTGCTGTGAGCTAGGCTGACGCCACGGCACTCACTCTAGCCTGGACAACAAAGCAAGACTGTCTCAAAAAAAAAAAAAAATTGGAAGATATTAAACAACAAATTTCTGCCACTGGTGCAAGCCTTCCCAAAGTATGAGTAACAGATGTTTTGGACATTATCCTTTTTGTAAATAAGAGACTTAAGTTATGGAAAAGTGTAGTGTATGTGGTTCACTGGAAGTACTATCATAAACTATAGAATTGTACTTGAAATCATCTGGTCTGACCCAATATTTAATGCAGGAAATCTTTCTATAAAATCTCATTAGGGATCAACTAGCCCCTGCTTAGTAGAGAAAGCAAGCTCAATACCTGTCACAGTAGCTTATTCCTTTATAGAGTAACTTGGAAGTTTCTTATTTGTATTTATAATGGACAAGTCAATTTCACAATACTTTAATCCAGTGCTCCAAGCCATCTAAACTTATGCAAAATAACCTCTCCTTCGAAAAACAGCCCTTCTTTTATTAAGTAACTCTTAATTCATCCCTGTTTAACTGTAGCATGAGTGAGGGACCAAATAAGAGTCCAAAGTCACTATCGCTCGAGTTATTACTTTAAATGCCTTTCACATTACCCTATAAATTATCTACAGTTACATGACAGTAGATCCTATTATTTTGTAAACACTTCATTCCAGAAACCCATCTAGCCTCAGGCCATAAATTTCCCAAGGAAGGCTGTATGAACCCTATGGATCTCTCAAAAGGTACTGCTGGCCGGGCGCTGTGGCTCACGCCTGTAATCCTAGCTCTTGGGAGGCCGAGGCGGGCGGATTGCTCAAGGTCAGGAGTTCAAAACCAGCCTGAGCAAGAGTGAGACCCCGTCTCTACTATAAATAGAAAGAAATTAATTGGCCAACTGATATATATATAAAAAATTAGCCGGGCATGGTGGCACATGCCTGTAGTCCCAGCTACTCGGGAGGCTGAGGCAGGAGGATCGCTTGAGCCCAGGAGTTTGAGGTTGCTGTGAGCTAGGCTGACGCCACGGCACTCACTCTAGCCTGGACAACAAAGCGAAACTCTGTCTCAAAAAAAAAAAAAAAAAAAGGTACTGCTGATCAAAACCTCAAAGGCCAAAGTCCCTTAGCACTAATTAGCATTATTGCCATTATACTGAAAATAATTTCATATTATGACTGTGGTTAAGTTTCTCCAACCATTTACACTGAGCTGAACGTGCAGAGTTCTCCCTGGAATAAGCTCCTCCAACTAAACATCGAGGAAAACATCAGGCAATTGCTTCTTTTTATGAAGATATTTCAATGGCCCAAACTACCCCAAATTGCAAAAGAAGTGACATCCAGGGAAAAGAACGAACTTGCAGGGCGAGAGCGTCTCCAGGCTCTGGCCGAGTGCGGCCCCAAAGAAAGCCCCGGGAAGCGGAGCCCGGCTCCGGAGGCTCGTCTGGGGCCCGGGCAGCTGAGCCGGGTCTCTCGGCCCCCAGCCCCGGTCATTGCGCAGGCGTGGGTGCGGCCTCTCCCGCTCCTTTCTTTTAAATCTCCCGCTTTACTCCCACACCCCCCCCCCTCCGCTCACAGCTCTGCCGGCAGCGCAGCCTCCTCCCCGAGACTCTTCTCCATCAGCAGCTCCAGTTCGTCCAGCTGCTCCATCCCGGGCGCCGGGACCGCAAACCGTCCCCAAGTCAAGAACCAGGAGAGACACCGCAAACCGGGAGAAGGAGCGCCAGTCGGCGCCGCGCTGTGCGCATGCGCCGGCCTACCTGGTCCCAATGGTCCTGCGCGAGACCGCCCTTCCCGCTGTCGGCGCGTTGCTACTGGAGCGCCTCGCTTGCCCTGCTGAGGCGCGGGGCAGCCCCCTTAGCTCCAGCGCCCGGGGCTCGGAAAAGTCTTCACACCTGGCCCAGACTCCTGCCTTCTCCCTTGACACTCCAGCCTGTGTTCGACTCACGCTCTTAGTTTGAAGAGGACCATTTGCAGTTGTCCAAAACCTGGCGTCCCTTGTTAGCCTTCAGAATTTTGCATTCCCTGGGAAACGGCCTCTCCTTTTTTTTCTGGAAAATTCGTTGAGAAAGTAGAAACTTCGATAGGAACTCCATCATGCCACGACTAAATCTACAAAACTACCAATATGTGCACCCATCTTATCTCTTTCCACTTTTGGCCAACACTGGACAATGTTCTTCCTGTCAATGAGCAAATCCCTCCACTGTACTTTAGATCCCAGGGCTAGCATTCTCCAGGGCATTGCTTCATCAGTTATTGCCTCGGTCTCTGGTATCATCAGTCTCACCTACACTATTGGATTGTATCCCTCATCGCAGCTCACTGCAACCTCAAATTCCTCCCTCAGTCTCCTAAGAAGCTAGGACTACCGGCTCAGACTACCACATCCAGTTACTTTCTTTTTAATAGAGAGAGGGTTTCATTGTATTGCCCAGGCTGGTCTTGAACTCTTAGCCTCAAGGGATCCTCCAGCCTCTCAAAGTGCTGGGATTACAAGCATAAACCACTGTGCCCAATGGTGGAAAGGTTTTTAATGATAAATTTCTTTAATTGGTTATGCAGATTTTGTTTCATCTATGTCAGTCTTTTTTTTTTTTTTTTTTTTTTTTTTTTGAGACAGGGTCTCACTTTGTTGCCCAGGCTAGAGTGAGTGCCATGGCGTCAGCCTAGCTCACAGCAACCTCAAACTCCTGGGCTCAAGCGATCCTCCTGCCTCAGCCTCCCAAGTAGCTGGGACTACAGGCATGCACCACCATGCCCGGCTAATTTTTTTTTTGTATATATATTTTTAGTTGGTCAATTAATTTCTTTCTATTTTTAGTAGAGACAGGGTCTCGCTCAGGCTGGTTTTGAACTCCCAGCCTCGAACAATCCGCCCGCCTCGGCCTCCCAGAGTGCTAGGATTACAGGCGTGAGCCACCGCGCCCGGCCTCTATGTCAGTCTTGATTGTGTTTTTCAAGGCATTCCTGTTCATTTCACCCAAATTGTCAAATTCCTTGGCAAATAATTTAGAAATCCCTTATCTTTTTCCTTTTTTAAAAAATTGGACACTTCATTCTATAAAATAGACTGAGCATTCTCCCTTTTACCTTTTTTTGAAAGCATTTTATTTTATTTTATTTTGAGACAGAATCTCGCTCTGTTGCTGGAGCTAGAGTGCTGTGGCATCAGCCTAGCTCACAGCAACCTCAAACTCCTGGGCTCAGGCAATCCTCCCGCCTTAGCCTCCAAAATAGCTGGGACTACAGGCTTGCACCACCATGCCTGGCTAATTTTGTCTCTATATATTTTTAGTTGTCCAGCTAATTTGTTTCTATTTTTTTAGTAGAGATGGGGTCTCGCTCTTTCTCAGTCTGGTCTCCCAAACTCCTGAGCTCAAAGGATCTACTGGCCTTGGCCTCCCAGAGTGCTAGGATTATCCTCCCCGGCCTCTCCCTTATTATCTTTTTAATATCTGTAGGATCCATAGTGATGTCCTCTTTTTTATTCCTGATTATTAGTAACTTATGGTCAGTCTTTTTCAGTTACTAGTCTAGCTAGGGATTTATTAATTTTCTTGCCAAAAACCTTCAATAGCTTCCCATTGCATTTAGAATAAAAGATAAAATCATTACAAGATCCTGTAGACCCCAACTTGATCTGGCTATTTCTTTAACCCCATCTGTTGCTACTCCTTCACTCACAATGCTTCACAATGGCTTTCTGAAAATTCCTATGTGAAGACAAACTTTCCTGTCTTAGGGTTTTTGTACCTCCTGTTCTATTCACCTGGGGCATTCTTCCCCCACAACTCTTTGTATAACTGTTTCCTTTTAATCCTCCATGTGTCAGCCTAAAAGTATATATAGCACATCAAAGAAACCTTTCCTTGACCATTCTAAAGTAATTCCTTTATTTACTTCCTTCATAAACATGTTTCATACACTGTAATCATTTTTTGATTGGTTTATGTTTATTGACATGTTCAAATTTATGGACATGTTAAAGTTTCATCTGAACAGGATAATACTGTATTAATGTATAGCATCATGGCTGTAAGACTAGGCTCTAGATCAGGGGTCCTCGAACTTTTTAAGCAGGGGGCCAGTTCACTGTCCTTCAGACCGTTGGAGGGCTAGACTATAGTTTAAAAAAAAAACTATGAACAAATTCCTACCCACACTGCACGTATCTTATTTTGAAGTAAAAAAACAAACAGGCAAAAACACCCACATGTGGCCTGCGGGCCGTAGGTTGAGGATGCCTGCTCTAGATTCAGACAAGCTGATTCTGAATCCTAGATCCACCAACTTATCATGTGAACCTGGGCAAGTAATTAAACCTCCCTAGGCCTTTGTTACCCCCATCTGTGAAAAAGGAATATTAAACAGTACCTATCTCATAGTATTGTTGTAGAGATTGACTTAAGTCATCAAAAATGTTTAAAACAAGGCAAGGTACATAATAAGTCTCTAGGAAATATATATAACATTATTTATCTCTGGTTTCTAGTGCCTAATATAGTGTCTGGTATTCAAAGACTAGATATAAGGAACTGTGTAAAGTATATAGCTGCTATATGTGTCAGATATTATTGGCAATACTCTGCAAGGCAATGCATTAATTGTACATAGGTTTTTATTATTTTATTTATTTTTTTTTTTTTGAAACAGAGTCTCGCTTTGTTGCCCAGGCTAGAGTGAGTGCCGTGGCGTCAGCCTAGCTCACAGCAACCTCAAACTCCTGGGCTCGAGCGATCCTTCTGTCTCAGCCTCCCGAGTAGCTGGGACTACAGGCATGCGCCACCATGCCCGGCTAATTTTTTATATATATATCAGTTGGCCAATTAGTTTCTTTCTATTTATAGTAGAGACGGGGTCTCGCTCTTGCTCAGGCTGGTTTTGAACTCCTGACCTTGAGCAATCCGCCCGCCTCGGCCTCCCAGAGAGCTAGGATTACAGGCGTGAGCCACCGCGCCCGGCAGGTTTTTATTATTTACCACTCATTATAGTTAGCAAGTTAGCAACAAGACACTTCTGTGAAACAAACCAAGTGACTGTATTTCTAAATCATCCCTTTTGTGGACTATTTGTGCTTCATTTCTCCCAAATAGAATGTAGAGTTTCCAAAAACAGGGACTGGGCCTTCTTTCTTCCCACCAGTAAACATCACTGAGCACCTGTTATCATGGTGCTACCCTGTGCTCCTCACCATGATTGAAGGCATGGATCTGCCTTTGAGGGAACCAGTTGCAGGGAAGGAGGGACATAGATAAACAGGTAGTTATCATGAAGTGTGGTATATACTCTATTAGAGAAACACCTCGTGTTATATGTTATTCGGCATCCTAATTAAACTGCTAGTACAGCTAATAGGCTTCCAAAGGGAAGTCCTACATAATGCTGACATAATGGGTGGTAAATAAATGGATGCTCAGTACTCTGGTGGAGAATGAAGCACGATATTATTATATATAGCCAGCAACTTCTCCACCTACATACAGGGAGTCATCAAGACTAAGGGTGGTACCTCACATAGCAATCCCTTGACCAGACCACTGTCTCATTCTATATACCAGAAGGCTCTATTCACTGAAAGGCAGGAAAACAGGAAGAACAGAGATCAAAAAAGAAATAAATTATCAATCCTCAAATGGAAGATAACATAGCTAGATGGACTTTGGGTTATCTATCTAAAATAAATCCAATACAAACATAGTCATTATTTTAAGTATTCTTCCATCCTGGCTTATGTTTCAATAATGTAAATAAGCTAAAAAAAAAGAAATGGTCAAAACATGGAAATTTTTATTTTTAATTCCTATGAATTCTATAACACATAGAATGCAAATTTTTATTTAAAAAAAATATTTGCAGCGCCCTTTTATTGATAACATAACTGAGATACTTATTTTATACATTTAAATTATTTTAAGATTTAATAACAATAGTTAGCTACAATGTGACCCAGAAATGAAAATATACAAAATAGTTTTAAGACCACAAGTATTTCTACCTGCTGGTACACTTATAGGTCATACAAAGATACATATTTATTTTTAAAATAAAGACTTTCAAAATGAAACCAGCTCATCAAATTTTTACCGAGGTATGACAAGAAATCTTTTATGCAAAAAAATAAAAATTGAAGCAAAAATAACACTTTCAACTTAGTTTCCTAATGTACTAAAAATCACATCAATTCTACAAATTACTATTTCTGAAGAGAGAATTTTAATTTGTTCCTCTCCCATTTCTATCATGCTTATAATAACAAAACATAAAACTGCCCTAAACACAATAAATGGAATTCTTACATTTCACCATTTTCTTAATATAAATGATAACAAGTCAAATCATATTTTACATTGCTACTTGCTTATATTGCACTAAAATTATTTTACATGGAAGAACTAGTTGATGTATCATAACATAATACCTTAGAAACATTCTTTGATATTCACATCTACATTAATGGATATTTCACAGTCCACTTAGATAAATTCTCTAATATAAACCAAATCATTTAACAGAAACAAATCTATAGTGCTACTTTGTCTTTGAGAGCAAAGATATTTAGCATTTATTATTACTGCCTTTGGGAAATACATTGACTCTTAAAAACATTTGGAAATCACACATAGTACCTGGTAATAACATTTGAACAAAACCTGATCCATCCTTCTATCTTTCCTTCATTTATTTTAAAGATGGGGTCTCACTATGTTGCTCAGGATGGCCTCAAAATTCTAGGCTCAAGAGATCCTCCCATCTGAGCCTCCAGAGTAGCTGGAACTACAGTCACATGCCATCAAGCCATCACATCCAGCCTCTTCATTTATCTTTGTCTCTACATGGCTACCTTTTAAATACAACATTAATTTTATTTTAAAAATAAAGGACAAATGTATCCATTTATGTAGTAGAGCAGAATTATAAGAGAGATAATACTTCAATGCTGGCTGTTTTATAGAACTCAAACATTCAGTTCTCATCGTTCGGCTACAATATAACCAAGACTGCTTATTTTAATAATAAACAATGTTAGAGGTTTTTAAAAATCATGATTACAATAAAAACCTGGAACAGCATGATAAAGCTAATGGCAACCTCTTGAACCCCATTTTGAAGTTAGTTCTTCCAAATAAAACTTTAAAACAGTTTCAAATAACCTAATTATTTAGCAAGCATCAGTTTAGGAATATTTTTTCGGTGTTCTAAGGTATAATGTTTGGCATCAAAAAATATGGTAAGCACTTTTGATTTGTGAGTAAAAAAGAAAAAAAAATCAAGTACTAAAATACCAGTGGTTCCTGTAACAGGGTAAATATCCCTATTCAAGTAATGTTCACCCCATAATTAAATTATCATTTTATTTCTCCCCCTCAGAGTTTATTAAGGAAGACAAACCACGATTTTTTTTAGTTGAGGTGAAAAAACTGCTTCATAAGTTCGTATGTTGTAAAAGCCACCGCTTGAGAGGGGATGCAGCGAATGTAATTAAGAGATAAACCACGATATAATCCTTTTCGAATTCCATGGTGTCCATAGACATACTTCATAGTATCCCGCATGGTACTGAAAGACAATGATTAAATGATGAC